CATGGTCAGGGTTGGGGGGGGGGGTGGGGATCGCGGGTAGCGGGACGGATTCCGGTCGACTTTTTTATTTTTCTGTTGTTCTTCTCTCGTTCGGAAGTGGATTCTTGAAGCGTTGACCACTGGCTGCCTCCTCCTTCCTTTGCGACCGGCCGGTTGCGGTCATCATGCAGCATTACGACAAGCCTTACGAGTCCCGAAGCATTAAGTTGCACTTTCTCCAGGAGGGGTGGTCGTACCAGTATTTCTCTGGCCAGTACGAATGAAGTTTTGAACCTATTGAATAGGAACATAGCTCAACCTACGGCACAGCAGCTCATCAGATAATTAGCTCTGAAGTCCGGGCACAACGGAACCAGCTTCCGTAGCGAATCTCGACAACGCTTGGTGTACAGTGCGGTTAACAGGTAGTGCTCCTAGTTAAGTATTCGTCAGCATCCTTTTGTCTCTTAATTCCAGTTTCTTATTTTTTACAGCCGCACCAACCTGGAATGTATTTGAAATAAAAAAAAAAAAAAAAAAAAAAAAAAAAATCTCCCTGTTCGAGTAGATTTTCCACCTATCGACACTGAATAAATGCCATAAATCCATCAAACGGTCTAAATGTTCCATCTGTTCTCCTGTTTTGCCAGTTATATAGTAATGAAAAATACATTTGTAAATTTTATGCAACAAATGGCAAACGTATCATTATTTTGAGATTGTGTATGTAAAAGTTATATTTTTACATGTAGACTCTTGTTATTATGTGTTTTAATACATTGTATCGGGGTTTTTTTTTTTGTTTTGTTTTGTTTATAAAAATCTGTGTGGTTGAAAAAAAGTCTCGTTTAAATGAACTAGCGAGATCCGAGAACCCGAATCCTCTGTTTGTTTCTGAAAACGTAAAGAACAAACCCGGTAGTGACCACGTGCTCACCTTCGACGTCCCCATCCCCATCCGGAGTAGCTGTGTCCGTGCTGGGAACTGTAAATACGTTCAGTCGCGATAGAACTTTCCAGCGCTTTGAGTTGCCGATAAGTTTCTCGAATGTGGAGGTGGATTCGACGGCTAGAGCGGACGCGAGAGGAGGCCGCGCGACGGCTCGGTGCCGGGCGACGGAGGTGCAGGAGGGACGCTGGACGTGGAGCGCGGCTGGCGTCCCCGGAGGGGGCGT